GGCCGCAGAGGGGTCTGCGGGGTTAGGAGGAGCAGTAGAAGGATGGGAGGGCTGAGAGGGCATAGGCAGAAGGGCCCAGGGAATGGAAGCTTTGTGGAGGGATAGACTAACCAAGTGGGGGAGGGCCAGGAACTGAGGGGTGGGAGAGGGGTTTTAGAAAAGCCACTTCTGAGGTCATGGTGGGGGATCTCTTCAGGGATGGGGAGGCCAAACAGCTCAAGGGACCAGATGCCTCATGTGACACCTCAGAGGCAGTGCCATGGTCTTTGGGGGTCTTGCGTGGGTAGGAAGAGGGTGAGGAAGGAAAAAGGGCAGCTCTGGGCCCAGCCACCTTGCCTTGATCTGCCTATCTGCTGGGCTCGGGCCCTTGTGCACACTGCTCGTTCCCTGTGCCTGAATCCTCACCCCACTGCCACTCACATGGCCTCACCACTTCCCTGCCTGCTAGGGACCTCCCGCTGCACCCCCAACACACACACTCATGAGCCCTAAGGGGCCTTCAGGAGTTGATGGAAACTTCTCCTCGGTGACTTGTCCCCAAAACTGAAATCTCAGGTCCCTTGGTCCAGCCCTGCCTCCCTCACCTTCCTGTTTAGTGTAGGCCAGTTGGTCAGAGCTGACATCTGTAGGGACACCTCGGGGACAGAGGCTCCACAGCCTGCCTCATTTTGACACCCCTAACCCTTGGGTGGTTGCGATAGAAAAAGGAATCTCACTTCAGGTGTGATGTGCATCTCATAGTCATGCTGTGAGTCCACTTCTGTCGGGAGAGCAGGGCTGGGCTGGGTTGCTTGGCAGGCCTCTTTGAGACATTCACACTCCCTGCTTCTCCACAGCTGTTATGCTCTATTCCTTAAGCCATCACACACACTCTCTCCCTCTCACCCTCCCTGCTGATGGGGTAGGGAAGTTTCTGGTGATGGGAGCAGCTGTAAAAAAAACTGGGGAAGGGCCGGCCCATGGCTCACTTGGGAGAGCGTGGTGCTGGCAACACCAAGTCAAGCGTTAAGATCCCCTTGCCGGTCATCTTTAAAAAAAACAAAAACAAAAAAACCTGGGAAGGGGTGGGGCTCTGGGCCCAGGGCTTCTCCCTAGTTTAGAGGTGTGGGACACTGGGCCAGAACAGGCCTCACAGACTGGAAAATATAACACTTCAGCTGTATAAAGAGAGGTCCGGATTTGCATGCAGTCAAATGTCTGCTGTGAATATGCTTAGATATTTGCTTGTATAGGGTTGGGCTCTATCTGTGACTACCCAAGAATATAGTAGCACTGGCTGCCTCTGGGTTGGGGACTAGTGGGCTGGGATGGGAATGAGACTTTTCACCGTACACACTTCCAAACCTTCTGGGTTCTGAGCCATGTGAAAGTGTTACCTCTGAAAAATAGAAATTAGAAATGCAAACAAAAAATCTCTTCTCCCCTCCCTCCCTGGGTTCCTTTGGGAGATTAACCATCTTCCAGGGTCCTCCTTAATGCGTTCCAGTGGGGGTGAGCTACATCTTAGCCAGTGCTTCAGTGTCCCTCCTGGGAGAACCTCAGGCAAGCTGGCTTGTCCTTCGCTGCTCAGGCGTGTTCTTTCTTCATGCCTATTGCAGGTTTCATCGACACCCATGCCAGGGACACCACCACAGCATTCCTGCACTAGGCTCAGGTCCCCAGCCTGTTGGCTGTGCCTCCTACAATTTCTTCTCGGCCCATACCTCCACTGCCATCACACCCCCAGGAACACTGATACTGGGCTAGCCTCCTCCCTGCTCCTCTGACCCTACCTCTCCTCCCTCTGTTCCATCTGCCCCATACCTCAGCCCGAGTGAGCTTCCTCCAATACAAATGTGATCATGCTACTCTTAAATCCTCCCGCAGCTGACAGTGCTAGTGCTCTGCCCAGACACCCCTTGAACCTCCTTTTCCATTTTTGTGCATGATGCCCCCCTCAGTGTACTTTCGAGACTGACACCTGTGACTTTTCTTGGAGGACTGCCCATGGCCTCCTGGAGTGCTGTGCCCTGGTGGCAGGGTAACCAGTGACTGCTCCATGGTCACTGAGCACCATTTGGTGGTGGTGGTGGTAGTAGTAGAGGGGAATGAAAGCCTGCTCTCTGGCCCCAGGCTGGGACGACTCCGGCTTTGCACTCCAGAGTTGTTCCAAGGGCATGCTGCTGAAGCCACCCTTCATAGCTGAGATGGTGATCTTGCTTGGCTTCATGCCCTTCATACCAGCCTCCCATGAGAGCACTTATACATCACTCAGGGCCTAAGATGGGCCCCTCAGTGGAGATCTATTGCCCACAGTTTACTCCTTTCTCTCTGGAAATCTATCCCATATTAAATCTACATTTAAGCCACACCAAACATCTAGCTGTCCTGCCACTTTGGGGTCTTAAGTACCTGCCTTCCTCCCTTAAAAAATTTTTTTTAAAAAAATTAAGCCTCCCTTTCCACCCCTCATGCTCTAAGTCTCTGGTTGGTATCATCTCCTTCCTCAGTTCTCCAGTGGTGCTACTTGCTTCCTCCTGTATTCTCAGGGCATTCTGGGTAAACTTCACGATAGCACCCATTTCACCAAATTGAACTAGTCTTCCCTGGAGCCTAGCATGGTGCTGGGCAGACAGTAGGCATAAAATTAATGTTTTTTTAATAAATATTGATTCCCCAAATGTCCTAAGGCTCTCTAGTACCAAGCTTCTCAGATCCTGAATGTCATCTACTGCCAATCAAAAGTGACTGTCCATGTTTCATTCCCTTGGAGCTCTGTATTGTTGCTTAAGTTTCTAAGATTACTAAAACCTTATTAGAGGGAAGCAGGGTGGTGTGCTGTAAAGAACAATGTTCCTTCCAGTTTCTTGGGACACCAGAACCGAGGTCTAACTCCACCTCACATGGACCCTTGGGGCCCAGTGCACTTGCTTCATTCAGTAAGTGGAAGGTCTAGATAACTTCTAAGGGCTTCCATGGCTGGAATGAAAGTCTTTTGTGGCTGCAGTCTGGTCTGTCTTGTTCTGTCCTCTATCCCAAGGCCAAGAATGGTGCCTGCTACAGAGCAGGCTGTCAAATTTATTTGTAGAGGGCCGGCCCGTGGCTCACTCGGAAGAGTGCGGTGCTGATAACACCAAGGCCACGGGTTCGGATCCCATATAGGGATGGCCGGTTAGCTCACTGGGTGAGCGTGGTGCTGACAACACCAAGTCAAGGGTTAAGATCCCCTTACCGGTCATCTTTTTTACAAAAAAAAAAATTTATTTGTAGAGAGAAGGAATTGACAATTTCTTTCTTTTTATTTTTATTTTTATTTTTATTTTTTAATTTTTTTTTCAAAAGGTGACCGGTAAGAGGATCTTATCCCTTGGCTTGGTGTTGTCAGCACCACGCTCACCCAGTGAGCTAACCGGCCATCCCTATATGGGATCCGAACCCGTGGCCTTAGTGTTATCAGCACCGCACTCTACCGAGTGAGCCACGAGCCAGCCCTCTTTTTTTTTTTTTTAAAGATGACCGGTAAGGGGATCTCAACCCTTGGCTTGGTGTTGTAAACACCACGCTCAGCCAGTGAGCCAACTAGCCATCCCTATATAGGATCTGAACCCATGGCCTTGGTGTTATCAGCACCACACTCTCCCGAGTGAGCCACGGGCCAGCCCGGAATTGACAATTTCAATGGCTAATATTGCTTGCTGCTAAACATATATTATTTCATTTAAACCCCAAAGTGGTGGAGTCAGGATGTGTACACAGGTTTATATGACTTTGAGGCCCATGCTCCTCCCACAATACCGTATGGACTTTAAGAGACAAAGTCAGCATGCAAGAATTTGTTCCAATGATGGCTTTTAATGATGGCTGTGGAAGGCTGGAGGAGATCCCGAGGTCCTTCTTTTTATACCATACAGGCAACTGCCTCTGCCATCAGCAACCCCAAGGTATAACAGGACTTTAGGGTAGGAGGTAGAAGGGGGTGAGAGGGTGCTAAGGAATCTGATCACTGTGTTCTTAACTGGATGCCTCAGCAAATGTTGGGGTTTAGGAATATAGTTCCAAAGGTCCTATACCAGTCACGTACTGATAAGCCAGCTCTCTTAAAAAAAATTTAAAAAAAAAGAAGCCCAGATTGGTAGCATTTGTGGATTTCAGTGGTATATATACTTTCACCATGGCTGACTTCAAGCAACTAACATGAAGTCACTGAATGCAGACTGGGAAGAGATGCGGATCAGCGGTTCTCACAAGCTGGTGAGTGACTCCAGCACACTGCTGGAACAGCAACTGGGGGCTGTCCCCCAACAACCACCAAACGATCTTAGCTTCTGCAGATGTTACGGACAGCCTTGAGAAACCTTAGCTCTCACCCTGCAGATTTCACAGAAGGGAAATGATCTCCTCCCCTCTGATTTACAGCAGCCATCCTATCACCATGTATGGTCATCTAGGCTGCTGGCTGAAAGGCTCCCTCAGAATGGCCTTATCTCCTCTTGGGAACACACCCCATTGCCTTGCCTGAGGCTGGTACAGCCCCCTGAGCAGGGAAGGCAACACTATAGGCTTCTGCAATCAGTTCTGCAGAAAGCAACTCAGGTGGTGCCATCCTGAGAGGGATGAGAGTGTGTCAGGGCCACCAACTATTCCTCTGCCCCTCACTTGGATTCAGGCGGTACCTTCTCCCCAAGGTTTAGGCAGTGCTTTCTCTCCAAGAAACCATAAACACCACAGAATCCACCCTTGCTGGTTTGGGCCTCACCCAGAGATGACGCCAGCTAAATAGATGGTGGAAGGAGAGGGTAGGAAAGCAGTGTGAGACTCGGTGTGCCTCCTTTTGGTTGAGGAGGGATCCTGCTCCCCTGCTGGGCACTGGAGACAGACCTTGAAGGGAAGAACAGGAACAGGTCTGGAGGAGAGGGGCCTTATCTTAGGGACAGAGCCTCTTGAGAGCCTACACATTTCTGTGTCTTTGAGTCCTCCCCTTAACACTATGCTGAGTAAAGAATTAGCATTCAGAAACACAATGAAGGAGAAATGAGACCTTTATTAGCTCCCAGAGTTTTTTTTTTTTTTAATACTGAGGAAAAAGCAAAATGTAGGGACAAGGAAAACCGAGGCTCAAAGAAGGACCCATGAGGGCCCCCAGAACTCACATGGACACACAGCAGAGGCCTTCTCTTCCTATCAAGTGTATGGGTAGGTAAGAAAGACTGCTTTGTTCCACTGAGATAGGCCCAACTGCCACAGTCTGAATGTGAAGAAAAGCAGAGTTGTGGCATCAATCCAGGAGGGTTAGAACTTGCTAGTGTAGAGGGTGATGATCCACTTGGGCATGCGGAGGAAGCTGGGCAAGTAGGAGGCCAGCCAGCCCAGGCTGGAGACATGTGAGAGAACGGAGCCCAAAGACAAGTAGTCTTGGACAGGGCGACCTGGGGGCAAGAGGAGGAGGAAGAGAATTATAGCCTCCTTTCTCACCCCTCAGCCACCCAACCTTGGCTGAAGAGACTGAAAGAGAAGGAGTGAGCAGAGAACAGAAGGAACAGTAGTCAAGGCTGGCTGCTGGGCCAGAGCTCTTACCATCCACATCCCGGAGGCCATAGCGTCGTGCAAGGTCACAGGATGGCAGCACCTTACCACTCAGGCTCAGGATATCAGGGTCTGTGAGCACACATAGAGCTGGAGATGGCAGGCATGGCAGTGGCACAGAGTGACAGGTTTGGGCCCAATTGGACAGGGCACCACTGAGACAGGCTCCGGAGCCCTGGAGAACTGTTTCTGTCTGTTCCTAAGAAGGCTCTTGGGCATCTGATTTTGCCCAAGATACCTCCCAGGAGTCAGTTCTTAAGGCTCCCATACCTCAAAGTGGGAATCTTGACCCTCTGGGCCCCTGAAAGCCAGAGAAAACAAGGGCGTATTCCTCAACCACCTCCCAAACCAGATCCGGGCTACCACCGCCCTACTGATCCTTCATGCCCTTTGTTACCAGCTGCCTCCATCTCCTCACCTGTTGCCAAAGCCACCACACATTTGCCACTCATTTCGGTGGTTTCCGCATATGAGAAAAGTGGTTTGAACTGAAATGCAGGAGCAGAGAGGTGAAGTGTTAATTTTCAAGAGCACTGCCCAAATCTCTTCCTGCTGGCCAGCTTCTGTACCAGGAGAAAGAAAGGCCAAAGACCTAATGCAGAACCTGCAGGACACAATGTCTTGCAAGGGGCCAGAGCCACTCCTTCCCACATCCAGGCAAGCCCTTGTAGTCTGGCACCAGAACTCACTGGCTTCCCTAAATGGAAGGATCTGATAGTGCCAACTAGTGCCTAGACCTTCTAGGCTAGTTCAGCACAGAGCTCAAGTGCATGGGCTTCAAACATCGACAACCTTTCCACTTATATGTGACCTTGAGCAAGTTTTTTAACCTCTCTGGGTTTCAGTTTCACCATCTGTAAAACAGAAATAGTATCTCCCTCAGAGGATTAAAGGAAATAATGTGTGTACAGTACTCAGGCCTAAGCCTGCCACAGTGAGCACCCAATAAGTGGGAATATTTATTCTTGTTGATACTGTCCTGTTGTTGAAGATGGAGAGGCTGAGTGCCCTGTATTCTCCGCTTCCCTTGCCATTCCCTTGCTAACCTGCTTAAACAGGGGATCCTCATAGGACTCCTCCTTTGCCATATGATCCTTCAGCAGTTCTGTCTGCACTAGACCTGGCCACAGGGACACGTAGCTGACCCTGTGGCGCCGCAGCTCGTGGGCACAGTCAGCAGCCAGCCTGTCACACTGTGGAGGGAAGAAAGGCAGGGTGAGAGCCAGGGCACTTGGCCATGTCGCCTCCTCCTCTTCCCTCCCTGCTTCCAATGGGGATGCTCCAGCCTCTTGCCCTTCCCAGGAGCCCTGAGGTCTCAGCTGCCAACCTTCCCCAGTGTGATGCCTACTCTGGCTGACCAAGGGGAGCCCAAGCAACAGAACTGTCCATGGATGAGGCAGAGAGGTGAGGGCCAGCCAGCCTTAACATCTGACCAGCGGGGACTGTACCTCCTGTGATACAGGTACCATCACCATCACTATCCTATACCTCCCTAAACCCTATACCACTGGGTCCTCACCGCAGCTTTGCCTACGCCATAGGGGACGTTGAACATGTACTGCAGGCCCCCAACGGAGGAGATGACCACGATGAGTCCCCGACCAGCTGGTACCATTAGCCGTGCCCCATACACTGAACACAAGTAGTGGCCTCTAGAAGGTGGGACAGGGAAGGAGAAGGAATGAACCATGTCGGTGTTGACCAGGGTGCCGCAGCCTCTGGCAGCAGAGGTGCCCTGGGGGACATGGGAACTGGCCAATATTCAGCTCCTTGGCTCTTCCTTTCTCGTCTGTGGGCTGACCATCCCCCGCTGTCCTCACAATCTTTCTTGCACTTTAGAAATCACAAATGCATTCTAATCCTGCTTCCTTGGGATTGCCACCAGAGTACCAAAACTGGAGCCATGGGTGTTCTTACCTGCTTTAGTCACAAATTTGCAGATAATCTCTTGATTACTCTCACAGGTGCCTGATCATATCCATCAAGTGTAATTTAATTATCTGAGAGAGTGACATTGTTCCAACAGTAACAAACAGAGACATAATTGGTGCTTATTCTACTGAGCAAATTCTAAATGCTGTGTTTTATCTCATTTCCATGCCATATGTATGTGTGACCCTGTGACAGTACTGCCCTCCCAATTGTGACCTGGAAGTGCCCCTGCTTGTGCATCTGGAGTGAGGATGTGGAGGCTAAGGAGGGCTGGTGCTCACTGTTTCTTATCAACCTTCTCCTGATTTAAAACCAATTTTTCCCTCTAACCATTTTTGAAAATACAGACTATAGGCTGTGTGCATTATTGAGAGGAGGCTCCCTTCTGGATCTTGCATTTGGATGGGCAGAGATTGTGTCAGGAGAGAGGCCAAGGGCTTGTTCGGATGAAAATTACTGATAGAAACAAGGCAAAAAGTTGACATTCCTAGGTGTAGACTCACCCAGTTGGAACTTCTCCAGAGAAAAGAGGGACAGATGAGACATAAGAGAGAAGAAAGAAGGGCTGGCTGGTTAGCTCTGTTGGTTACTGTGTGGTGCTGCTATCACCAAGGTTTAGGTTCCATCCCTGTAACAACCAGCCACCAAAAAAAAAAAAAAGAGAGAAGAAAGAGACAGCAGAGGTCAGAGGGAAAAGAAGAGGACATATAGGGAAAGGCCTAGGCCCTCAGGCTGGCTAAGTGAGTGAGGGGAGCCCAGGCCCTTGTGGTGAGGGAAGGGGAGCACCCACCTGAGCCCAGCGTTGTTGATATCATCCCACATGGAGGCGGGGCTTTCCCAGAATGACTTATTTTTCGTGTCTAGGATAGCCTGGAAGGCACAAGAAGGGGGCTCAACTGGATGATCTAAAGGCAGTAAGGTGTGGGGGCTGGGTAACAGAAGGGGCAATGAATGAGAACAAGGACTCAGGGGTTAGAGGCAGAGGCCAGGAGTGTGGAGCTGGGATAAAAGTTCAAAGGTTACCTGGACCCCGGTATAGGCATTGTTGACCAGCACATCCAGACGCCCCTGCTGTTCACGACCCACTTGCTCAAATAGGCTTTGCACTTCACTCTCCTGGCTTGAATCGCACACCACGGGCACACACCGGCCCCCAAGGGATTGCGCCTAGAGAGGGACAGCGGATATGAGCTCATAGTCACACATAAATGTAGGACATAATGCAACTCCCAAACAAAGTGGGCTTGGGAACTGAAAGGCAATCATAAGAATCACATGAAAAAATGCTTGACATCACTAACCATCCGGGAAATGCAAATCAAAACTACATTAAGATATCATCTCACTCCAGTTAGACTGGCTATTATCAAAAAGACAGAATAACAAATGCTGATGAAGATGCAGAGAAAGGGGAACCCTATGCTGTTGGTGGGACTGTAAATTAATGCAGCCATTATGGAAAACAGTATGGAGTTTTCTCAAACAACTAGAGATAGAACTACCATATGATCCAGCAATCTCACTGCTGGGTATATACCCAAAGGAATGGAAATCACTGTGTTGAAGGGATACCTGCACTCCCATGTTTATTGCAGCTCTATTTACAATAGCCAAAATATGAAACCTACCTAAAAGTCCATCAACAGATGACCGGATAAGGAAAATGTGGTATATATACACAATGGAATACTACTCAACCATAAAAGAATGAAATTCTACCATTTGCAGCAACGTGGATGAACTTAAAGAAAATTACGTTAAGTGAAATAAGCCAGGCACAGAAAAAGAAATACATGTTCTCACTCATAAATAGGATACTAAAAAAAAAGAAAGAAAGATACAATAATCACAATAATTCATTGAACTTTCTAAAGGAGAGAACAGAACTGAGGCCACCAGAGGTGGTAAAGGGGGGTGGTGGGGTAGTTAGTGAGAAATTGGTAAAGGGCAAGTAAAATTATTACATTGTATAATGTTGTATATACTAATTTTCCTGATTTGAGCATCATATATTGCACTCAGGTATTGATATTCAACACTGTACCTCACAGATATGTACAATCAACTATGTTTCAATTGAAAAAAAAAAAAAAAAAGGAATCAAAGCCAGCACTGAGGCAACATGGTGGGCAATACTGCCCTCTGGTGTCTGTTTGAGGAGTTTCAGAAACGATAGGCCCTTCCATCACAGAGCAAGGTAAGATGGAATCTCAGGTTTAAAATTTACAAACATTTACTGAGGCCTATCACATGCAAGACGTTGTACTCTGTAGGTTGAGGATAAAGAAAAAACAAGGCATGGAGCCTGTTCCTGAGAAGCAAGTAACTATTCTTGTTCTTGGTCATTTCCATCTCTCATGCCCCTAGCTCCCACCTTCACCACTCACCTGAGACTCCAATTCAATCCCAGCCCTCTTACCCTCATTCCATGAACTCCCCTGCTCAGTAATCGAAAATTCACAGCTATCAGGCATGAACTATTTTTACTTCCTGTTCTGTCTTACCTTCTGCAAATGTGCCCCCATCCTCCAACTTCAGAGGAAGAAGAGTGCCTTATTCAAGATCCATGCTTTGGGTCCCACCCTATTACCCCCTTGCCCAAACCACTGCAATGCCCCCTAACTACTCACCCGACCTCTAGCCTTTCTGCCTTAAATTCTTCATAGTCTGCCAGTATGAACTGTCTAAAACACAAATCTGTTTAAAATCTAACTGGATCACCACCTCTTAGAGAGTAAAGCCTAAGGTATCTACTAGGATCTTCTGAGACCCACTCTCCTCTCTAGCCTCTTACCCACCGCGCCTCCCTTGCCTTATCTCACAACATCCATAACCTTTAACTGTTGTCCCTCTGCTCATGTAGCTCCCTCTGCTGGAATGCTTTTCCCAACTTCCTTTACCTAACTTACCTTTCAAGATTTCATTCCAGAACCACCTCCTTCGGAAGGCTTTCCCTAGCCACTTCCCTGTATCATCGGGATGTCCCATCCCCACACACCTAGGGCATTCTGTGTATCTCTCTCTTACTCACATTACATACAAATGATTGGTTTCTGCATCTGAATTCCTGTTGGACTCTATCTTTTAAGAGCAGAAATTATATATCAGTCTTGGTAATATATAATTGTGCTTCACCCAGTGCCTAACAAGTCACAGGTACTCAAATATTTATTTAACTGAAATCCAGTACAGCAGTCAAGTTAAAATGTACAGTTCAATAAAGTCTTACCTAAAATGGAGGAAAGCACATGTCCACAACTCTTTATTACAATTCCCAAATCCCTGAAGCTCTCTAATAGAAAGTTTTTTCATAAAACTCACTTGGTGGCAAAATTCGACATTACCTGAGATTATTTATGGGGTTTATTTATTCCACTTCAAGCAAATGTTCAGGTTTTGTTTAGTAATATTACGGTTTCAGATGAGGGATTAGGATAGAGAGAGTGTTTAATTTGAAGGCTCCTTCAGGTGGTTTCTGCAGCTGTGGTCCCGAGGAAACACTCACCTCCTGAGCAGTGGCCCGGAGGGTGTCCAGATGGCGGCCTGTGATGTAAACTGTGGCACCTGCTTGGCAGAGTTGCAAAGCAATGCCGCGGCCAATACCTCTGGAGGCACCAGTCACCACACACACTTGACCCTTCATGGGAGCTGCCATGGCTCACAAGCAAAACGGGAAAGTCTGTGGAAGCAAAGACTTGCTCTGAGGGAAGCCTGTAGATTGTGTGTGTGGAGGGCGGACTCCAGCAGGGGTAGGAGGGGGATCCTAGGTGGAAATCCTTTGAGGAGAAGTTTTAGAGGGGGACAATTGAGTGGGGGCCCCAGGACAAGGCTGACTATCCCTTTTGGAAGTCCAGGGAGTGCAGAAGGGACTGAGTGGAGCTGTCCAGGGCTGGACGCCTACTGCGACCTGCTGAGCAGGGCTAAGTGCGGGGCGGAGGAGGGGATCTGGCGTGGAAGGACCTCAAAGCGCGTCCACGCAAAGTCCTGGGATATGTGGATCTCTGGCCCCCGGCAGAGCCAGGGCCGCGGATTCCGGGTCCGGGGTGAGTTCGAAGCCGGGAAATCCGAACCCTAAGCTGAGGGGAGCTCGCACCCCTTACCTGCCACCTGTGCTGCCTCTGCGGTCCTCGCGCAGTCTAGCTCACCACACCCGTGGTTCGAGAACTTTATTTTGGCCGCGAGGGTGGGACGAGGTGACTACACCTGAGTCAGAGAGCGAGGCTGGGGTGAAAGTTCGGGCTCCGGCTCGGGCTGAGTGGTTACGTGGACCCGGGGCTCAAAGATCCCACCGTCGGGTCGGGTGCGATTCTAGGCCGCGGCCAGGACAGAAGACGGGGGCGGCGCGATGTGGGGACACACCCACCCCGCGGGCTGCGGGGCCGTCGCGGAGCTATGACGCAGTGCGCCGCGTCGGGGGAGCGCCGGCGCGCCTAAGCTCGGTGCGAACCGACCCACGCCTCTTAGCGTGGGGTCACGGTGCGCTAAAGAAGCTTTCCCAGACTGAGGGTTCGAGGCACACATGGGGCTGGGTCCGCGCTCCTCTCACAAGGCGGGGCGCCGGTTTCCAGCTGGTGGCAAACGGGGGCGCGGGGCCAAGGCGTCGTGGCGCCCCACGCCAGGCCGCGAGCGGCAACCCCGGCCGCCTGCGGAAGGGCGCTCGGAGCCCGCTCTAGACACGCCCCCCCACCTGAGCCCCGAAGCTCTCGGGTATTTCCGTCGGGCGCTGTCCGCGCTGAAAGAGGCTCCTGAGACCGGGGAAGAGCGAGGTAGGGAGCCACTTCGAGGTGGGACCAAGAGCATAAAGTCCAGGATAGGCGAGGAAACCTAGAGGTCCCCAGGGCGTGGGGACTTCGTTTCATATCCCTTGTCCTATTAACCCCCGCCCCCTCTTTAAGTGATGGAACTTAACCTTATTCTCATCTCTTCTCAGTCTCTTTAAAATATTTCTTCTTTGTAGAGCTGATAGTGCACAATGTTTTGAAGGAAGTGGAGGCTCAGGCCCTAGCCTTGGCCACGAACAGGAATGGCAGTGAGATGCTACAGGAACTGTTGGGGTTCAGTCCCTTGAAACCGCTGTGTCGTGTATGGGCTGCTCTGCGCTCCAACTTGCGCTTTGTGGCCTGTCATCGGTGCGGGGTCCATGTATTGCAAAGTGCTCTGCTGCAGCTGCCTCGATTACTGGGGAGTCCTGCAGAAGAGGAAGAGGAGGAGGATAGGAAGGATGGTCCCTTAGAGACCCTGGAAGAGCTGGTCCTGGGACTAGCTGCTGAGGTGTGTGATGATTTTCTTTTCTACTGCGGAGACACACATGGCAGCTTCGTGGTCAGAACTCTGCTGCAGGTGTTAGGAGGGACTTTTCTGGAGTCTGAGAGAGCCAGGCCCCGTGGCTCCCAATCATCTGGTAAGTATTACAACAGAGGGGAGTGGACCTACGGGAAGGAGTGTTTAGGAAGTTCAGAGAGAGTAAACAGAAAAGTAAGTCTTCATGGGGGATCTTGACCTCGAAGAATTAGCAGAGAAATTAAGACAGGGCTTAGCAGGCCAAAGATTAGTGTGCTCAGAGGCCCAGAAGTAGGGACGCACAGGTGTTTGGGGACATCTATTAGAAAGGGGCAGGAGGAGGAGGTGATTCATATAGAGCAGTAGCAGATTTCCAACTTTTTTTAAACCAAAACTCCCAGTAGGAAATTCTTTCCTTTTTTATTTTGTTCTGCTCTATTTCCTTTAAAAAAAAAATGCTGGTTGAGACCCACTAATTGATTTCATGATATACTCATAGGCTGTGACCTACGTTTTGAAAAACTCTGGGGAGTAAGGTTAGAGAATTTAGATGAGGCCTGATTTTGGAATGTCTTGAAGACTGGTGGGCTAGCTCCATCGGTTATAGCATTGCCTAATAAAACCAAGGTCAAGAGTTTGAGCCCTGTACTGGCCTGTACTGAGCCCTGTACTGGCCCAGCCCAAAAGGAATGTTTTGAATACCTGCAAGAGGAATTTCAGCTATCTCCTATGGACCATAGGGGAAATGGTTGAAATTTCTTAGGAATATTAAAATAGAAATGTAGTCTCAGTTCAGTCATCCAGATAAGAAGGGACATTCAATTGTATCACATCTGTTCTGCATCTCCAAGCTGAATTCTTGTTCATCTATGAAATTCTTCTCCCTCCTGGATGGTAGTTTGTGGTCTCACCCTTGCATACGTTCTTGATCTTCCTTCAGAAGTGCAAAGAGCCCCAGCTCGGGAATGTAAGCCAACTGATTTTGAGGTCCCGGAAACCTTCTTGAATCGCCTTCAGGACCTGAGCTCCTGCTTTTTGAAGGACATTGCTGGTAAGGAGGGAAGTAGGAGGCGAGTCTAGGATCTACGTTTATGGAGGTGATTACCACCAAACGAGGCCCTTATTTAGGTCAGTGTATTTCTCTTCTTGTCAAACCTAGTCTGGTTTGATGTTGCAAAGCACTCTATACAGGCCCTTTGTATCTGTAGATCCCTGTGCCTTGTTGCTCAAGGTTTGAGGTTGTACAGTCTGGATTTTGGGAAAGCTGCTATTATTATTTGTACCCTCTCCCTACAGTGTTTATCACCGACAAGATCTCCAGTTTCTGCCTGCAAGTGGCCTTTCAGATCTTACACCGCAAACTGCCCCAGTTTTGTGCCCATCTCTGCAATGCTGTGATTGGCTACTTGAGTACCCGCAATTCCTCAGCAGATGGCAGGTATGGTCAGGGCCTCAGGATTGAACAACGTTGGTGGGGTGTGTGAAATGAATGAGGTGCTGTGTTACAACTGTATTTTGGATGAAGTGGAGTTAAGACTATCTGATCTCCTTCTCCTTGTCTCCAGCCCCCTACTGCTATTTTTGCGGGATCAGACGAGCTCCAGACTCTTAGAGCAGGTGCTGCTGGTGTTGGAGCCCCCAAGGCTCCAGAGCCTCTTTGAGGATCACTTCCAGGGGCAGCTGCAGACCCTAGCTGCACATCCCATTGCCAACTTCCCTTTGCAGCGCTTACTGGATGCTATTACTACCTCTGAGCTGGTGAGTTGGAAACATGGGCTGCATCTGTTCTGTGCTAATGTGTTCGCTAGTTCTTGTTCTTTGGGCTTTCTGTTGTTGTGTGCCTGTCTCTATATATAATCTCTGACGATGTGCTGGCCATTGCCCTTGTAAAGTTATTCCTGGGAGCTTTCTATATCTTAGGATGAAGGTGCTTTCCTCCCAGAAAGGATTAGTTTTGGCTTCTCTCAGGTGCAAGGACCAGCATGAAACTTTTTTTTTTTTTTTTTTTAAAAAATGACCAGTAAGGGGATCTTAACCCTTGACTTGGTGTTGTCAGCACTATGCTCTCCCAAGTGAGCTAACCTGCCATCCCTATATAGGGATCCGAACCCATGGCCTTGGTGTTATCAGCACCATACTCTCCCAAGTGAGCCACGGGCTGGCCCTATGAAACTGGCTTAATCTAAGTTTGCAGCTTGAGGTTCCATGGCCCACCCAGACTCTGGGTACTTGGCTACAAATCCATGTGGCCATAACTTCTCTTTTCCCATACTACTTAGCATGAAGGCATGCTTCCCTGTGCTCTCATGAGTTGGGAGTTGGAGTGCGAGGGGCAGGTTTAATTCTAGTTCTTCCTTACTCCTACTTCTCCCTTAACACATAGGAAGGGCCATTTAAAGTCCTCTCCCTGTGTTAGGCAGCATCTCTAAGACTGCCTCCTTGTCCTAGGCCTTTTCCAGCGAAACCAAAGCCCTGACATTAGCAATGCTTTTTATGTGTTATCTAGCATTTTTAGTTGTTTTCAGGCGGGAGTTCTCTGAATAACTTAGCCCACTTTTACCAGAATGACAAAGATTCTTCTCCCCATGTTTTCCCTCAGCTGTCTCCTGTGTTTGAGGAACTGAGCCCTGCCCTGGAAGGTATAATGGCCCAGGGCCACCCAGGGGTAGTTGTTGCCCTGGTGGGGGCGTGCCGCAGAGTTGGGGCCCACCAAGCCCAGGTCTTGCAGCTGTTGTTGGAGGTGAGTGGGTGTTACCTGCAACCCATTTGTGCCCTTGGTCCAAATTCTTCTTGTTAGAATTTATCTAATCTTCAGCCGTTGTACCTCTGGACCCAAGAGGTCTAATGCTCAGGGAGTTCACAGATGGAAGAATGAGGCCAGAAGCCATCTCACAGCCCTGGAATGAACATTTTCTCCCAGAACTGAGAGAGGTTTATTTAAGGGATAAATGTTTGTTTATCCCGTTATATGTGTGGAGGCTGGGGATACAGCAAGGCAGATGAGATCCTCCTCTCATAGAGCTAACATTTCTTATGTAATTAGTTAGGTTTTCTCACCTTTCCTGAATGTTTTTCCCTGTCTAGAAAGTTGGGTTTAGGGATGGAGTAGTTCTCAGATTCATTGTGTTTTATCTTTCCTCTAGGCATTCCACTGTGCAGAGCCCTCATCCCGGCAAGTGGCCTGTGTGCCTCTGTTTGCCACTTTGATGGCTTATGAGGTGTACTATAGACTGATGGAGGAGGAGGGGGCAGTGCCTGCCCAGCACCAGGTGAGGTAGGGGAGAGGCCAAGCCAGTGATTAATTGGGGCCAGGCCTCTCAGGGCTTAGGAAGCCCCTCATTCCTGAGGTGAAGGAGGTGAGATCTCTGACTTCATTCAGGCTGAGGTAGCAGTATCATGGGGACAGGCTCATCCACTTGGTTTGGTGGCTGCCTCCTAATTTCCAGTCTGTGCTCCCAGGTAGAAATGGCTGCAGCCAGGGCCCTGGGAGAAGTGACAGTCCTTGGGTCTCTACTGCTCCAGCATCTGCTGCACTTCTCCAACCCTGGTCTTATACTTCGAAGTCTGGGTACCTTGACTGGACCACAACTTCTGGCTCTGGCCCAAAGCCCTGCTGGCTCCCATGTGCTTGATGCCATCCTGACCAGCCCCTCTGTGACTCGCAAGCAGCGCCACCGTGTGCTGCAGATGCTAAAGGTTAGACTTCTGGCTTCTGCCCTGATTCCCCTGTCATCATCCATTTAGACAATATGAGCTTCCCTCAGGACTGTACCCTCAGAGTCAAAGAGAGGATACATAGTTCCTAGACTGTTTTGACTCAGCCTCTAAGCTCTTCTGAAACTTCACTCTCCCCTGCCTCCCCCAAAACACTTTTGTGGACATTCCTAGACTTATCTACCTTGCTTGTCTCAATGCAGGGACAATACGTAGCTCTGGCCTGTAGTCGCCATGGCAGTCGTGTGCTAGATGCCATCTGGAGTGGAGCAGCCTTGGGGGCTCGAAAGGAAATTGCTACAGAGCTGGGTGAGTACCAGTACCTTTCTTTGATGTTTCCAAACATTCCCAGCTGGGGCTGGGAGTGGACTTAAATTTAGCAGAGACTTCAGTCCCAAAGAATGGTATTGGACATGGGTTCTTAGCAGTCTGCTTTCCCCTTTCCTCTGCGGACCGATTGTGCAGTTCTGTGCTCTCACTCCTCCTCTTGGCTTCTATTCTTTGGAGAGAGAGGTGTTCACTCTATCCCAGTGGCAGGAGCAGGGTCTGGGGAAAATGGAGGGATTTTCACCCTAAGTAGAATCTGTCTTCAAACATGGATAGGTGACTGCATGGTGCTACTAAACATGAGTTTTTCCCTTTGTAGGGGAGCAGAATCAGGAGCTGATAAGAGACCCTTTTGGCCACCATGTGGCTCGAAACGTGGCCCTGACTACCTTCCTGAAGCGGCGAGAAGCTTGGGAACAGCAGCAGGGAGCAGTGGCCAAGCGGAGGCGGGCATTGAACTCAGTACTTGAAGACTGAGATCTTTGGGTCTGGGACTGGGTGTTGATGGGCGGGGGTGGGGGGGTGTGTGTGTGTGTGAAAGAGTATCTATCCCATCCCTTTCTTTGTTTAAATTGGAGTCAAAAATCTTATTGGTAAACATTTTTATGTTTTTACTGGAAATGTTTTTGTTATTTTTGTGGGGAAGGGTATGAAGAAATAGAGATCTCTAGGTAAAGTCAGAGAGGCTGCTGGGGAGCTTAGGGACAGGTGGAGTGGCTAAGGAATCTAGATGTAGCAGCAATCTGGATGGGCTCAAGATGCTTGGGAATAGGCTTGTGGCCTTTCGTGGTAAGTGGGAGGCTGGAGATATGGCTAGGATGGGACAGCATTCTTCAGGAAAGGTTACAGGCTAGGGCTATAAGGCATTATGCTGTTGGGTTCTATCACAATGGGGTCAGAGGGCAGCGGGGAGATTGGATGTGTTACCTAGCCTGCAATGTCTGCTGGTCCGAAAATCTGATGCTGTCAGAGTCTTCACAGTGTGTCTCTTGGCATGAGTCTGGGGGCAAAAGCTCAGTGTTCCTTCTTAGTAGGAATGGAGGCGACCCTGTTGCTGCCAGTGCTCAGCCCCCTCTACCACATGGCGAAGAGTGGAGGAAATTCCCAGCAGCATATGGCCCAGGCCTTGCAGCAGTGTGGAGGTCCAACGTAAGAGCTCCCTGAAGGACAGAGACAAATGAAAATCAGATGGTTATAGGAACCTGGGAGGAGGCCATAGAGCTGGGGGCTGGGGGCTTTCCATAAGGGGGAGTTAACTGGGGGTAAGTGGGTGTAGAGAAGGAATTATGGGGACTGTCCGACTGTAGGGGTGGAGTATAACATATTGATCTCTGACCTGAGTACTTTTTTTGGGCCGAGTCCTTGAAAGTCACAACTCATGGAGTAGAGCCCGTAGAATGTGGCTTTGATGTTCAGGCTGCCAAAGAGGTCTCGAGGGTTTTGCTTGTACACGTCAAAGGTGATGCGGGCGATATCCTTGCTGTGCTTGGGCTTCTCCCGGCCCAGGCCATATAACAGCACCCCACTCTGTAGGGCACTCACATCAGTGCGATGGACCCTCACATGCTGACACCCACCACTAATCTCCATCAGCACTGGGTCAGACCCACCCTCGCCTGGACTGTCTGTCCACTATATGATGTCCTTGACAACTCTACAACTGTCCCAGTGCCTGTGCTCCAAAGATCAGGTTTAGGCTAGAGAAGAAGCTTGGGAGAGTTATAAAGGATTGGTGGCCTAAGCAGCCCCAGTAGGAGCCTCTTACCCTGGTAGGGCTCCAGCTCTGCCCAGATTCCAGCACCATCAGGCATGTGTCATCCTCCAACAGCTGGAAGAAGTCCTCACTCTCCACGGCAGTCCCATCCTCCTCTAGCACCAATGTCAGCACTCCACTCAGTAGCAGGGTCTCCAAAGCCTACCCGTGGTGAGCAGCAGGAGGGAAGGGGCAGATCTTATCCACGCTCCTCCCCTCTTTAGCTACCCAGCATCTATTGGTTGGCCCTAGACACTGTTTGGTATCCGAACTCTACTTCCCACACTTTGCCGTCCCTTCTAAAGGCGTCAGCTCTCAGTGTTCTTTAGTTGTTGGGGGACCCTTACTAGGGGCTGACTGTTTTTCCTGTTTGCTCCTATCATGTCACTGTCCTCTCCCCCTGCTCCCCTCCAAGTCACTCCTACTGGTTTGGAATTGAAAAGCTAGTCAGGCTCTCTTGAAGTCGCCCTTCTGTCTTATCTACAGTGTCCCACCCTACTCTCCCGCCTCCCTCATAGTCCTCCAGAACTGTTTTCAGTAACAATGACATTTAACCTTTTTGAGTCCTCACTATGTGCCAGATATCTTTGAGCACTTTACATACATTATCCATTTTTACTCCTTTCAACAACCCTAGAAGGTGGTGTATTATTATTCCTTTTTTATGGATGAAGAAACTGAGTTTGATAGGTTGAATAACTTCCCAAGGTTTAACAGCCAGGAAGTGGCAGAGTTAGGATCTGAATGGAATGGGGTCATACATTTCACACTGACTTCTGAACTCCTTCCCTACTACCCTCCCTTATCTACTGCTTCTCTTACTCCCAAGGAAAAGCCTACTACTTGGAAAATAAGCAAATTGACCCACATGTGGCAGAGATCATTGGGCTCATCTCCCTGCTTTTCCTTTTTGTCCCAGTGGGAGGGGCAGCTGTGTGACCTCAGTCTGTTCTGCTCCATCACCCCCAAATCTCACTATTCTCGAACTCCTTGGCTGCCCTTATGATAGGAACCCAGGGACTTGGCTCATTCACCTTGTCTAGCAGCTCCTGGAGGGTGGCAGCTGTCAGACCTTTCCGGATGGTCCGCTTGTGATCACAGACACGGAAAGGTCGCTGGGGTGGTGGAGCTGAAGGCCAGACCCTCCGGCCAAGCTCTGAGCTCATACTGGATACTGACCTTGTAGTTGGGAAGAAAAGTCAAGAAGGGGTGAGGAGGGGGTTGGTGAGTGCAACAAGGATGATGGGGGTGGGGTTGCTGGAGGATTAGGGAGGGAGGAATCCAGTTTGCAGATTAGAGTAGCCAAGGGAGAGAGGAAAGACCATGGAGTTGGGGTGGGGGCCAGTGGTTCAGGAGCTGGGCAAACCTGTGTGGAGTAAGGGGCAGGAAGGGAGGGATATGGGTGAGTCCCCTAGGGGCTGAGTGGAGTTTGTTGCCCCACCTGTATTCCCAGATTTGGAGGGTAGAGAAGAGGGTTAGAAATTACCTGAGCAGACCGCCGGGATTCAGGCCTGAGAGGTATTCCATGGAGGAAGGAAGGAGTAGAAGGTTGCCTCTTCTCTGTGACTTATGGGCTGGGTGGTTCTCTGCTGTACTGGGGCTGAAATGTTGTTTTCTGTTACAAAGCTGGGGTCTTGGCCCTGGTGAGGTAGGGATGAGTCAATCCTGGACTCTGGCCCTCCTGCCTGGCAAGTAAGAAGGACAAAGTCCAAGGTGGGGGTGGGGGGCAGGAAGGAGGGGCCTAGAGGGGGTCATGGAGGAAGGATTCCCTAGCAAAAGCAACAGCAGCTTGTGTGTGTGTCTGTGGTGGTGGCTTGTGTTGTGAGGGTGTGGGAACTACTTAAGAGGATGGAATATGACCTCAGCTGTTTTTATTTCTATGGAAGAAATTTCTAGGGACAGGTTGTGGTTCCTAGCCTCTGAGACCTGCATTTTATGTGATCTGTGCTGGGTGTGCTGCCACCTACTGCCACCTACAGGAAAATCATAAGCTGCTGCTTAGGAAAAGAGGCGGGGCTGAGAGTGGGGAAGGGGGATGGGAGCAGGACTTGGAGAAAATGAGAGGTGAGGCAGTGTGTCTGGGAGTGGTGTGAGGAGAGGATGGATCTTGTTTGGGACCCTGGCCATCCTGCTGACCTGTTCCTTCCTCCTTGACCAAGGGGAAGGGCCGGCTGAACACTTCTCTGGCTTCATTCTGCAGAACTACCTGCTTCAGCCACACTGGAGTAGTCACCTTCTTTCACCTTCTTTTTGCCCATTAATGGCATGAAGGAGATGTGAATGGGGCAGGGGGTATCCTTTGATGGCATCAGGACTTCAGCTTTTGGCGTCTTGCATCCCATCTCTGTTTCAGTTGCAGCTATGATGGACAGTTGCATGGAAGCTCAGACTCTCACTGAGTGAATGCCTCAAATGATTCCAATCTCTGCTTTTCTGCCCAGAAGACTTGTAGGGTCTCCCAGTTTCTGTGTCCTTACCAAGGAACACAGAGTGCCTTGACCACTCTGTGACCCAGACAGCTGTATTTCTTTTGCAGGCTTGAAACCAAGCAGAGGCCTTTAACATTCCCAGGCACTGATAAGGTGTCTAGGTTGTTGCCCAAAACATCAAATGAAACTAGCCCTGGCCCTGAGCCAATTTCCTTAAACACTCATATAAACTCCATACCCTGACTCCCTCAATGCAGACATACCTAAGTAGGACATCCGTTTTCTCTAGTCTGTTGCAAGGATCTGCTGCAGTCCATGCTGTATGTATTTCTCCTAATAAATGCTTTGGACTGATCACCCTGGTGTTTAGTGCTTCTTTTTAGAATCCTCAGTGGCCCCATCTCTGGATGCTTTGGGCACCCCCTTGTTGGAACTCCCCTGCTGCCACTTATGGGGTGACTGCAGCTGTGAGTTTGGCCAGGATGGAACAAGCCTTGCCAGAAGCTATGGCAGCTCACCCAGCCCCCTGATAAATACAGGCTGCAGGTATAGGGGTGTTTAATGTCTCCCAGACAATACTCAAACAAGGGGAAATGCCCTAGTCTTCGTCTTGGGCATTCTGTACACTTCTTAGAGGTTTCCCAATGCCTACTGAGAAGACAATAACACGCTTTCCTCTTCCCTATCTTACCCTGCTCCTTCACTCCTGCTTCCTGAGTTGACATCCCAAATACAGGATTACCGGTACCCATGTCCTTAACTTGGTCTCCACTTTGGAGGAACCCAAACTAAGATAATGCTCCTATTGTGTTGGTTCCCAAGGAATCCCCAGTTCTGGCTGTTGACTGGGCAGAAGACTTCCTTTTCCCTTCCCTCAACTCTATGGATCTGCCAGATCCCCCTCAATTCTGTCCATTTCCAAGCTTTGCCTGACCTCTCCTTTGTATGTCTCTACCACTGTACCTTTTCCTTTTTTTCTTGTTTTGTATCCTGGTGCAGCCTGGTAGTGTGTTCTCTTCATGGTTGCATTACAACTCCCCAGCCAGGTTATAAGCCCCTTATACCCCTATACATCCCATTCTCCCCAGAACCTAGCACCACACCTTACACTGAAAAGCTGCCATTGACAACCCAGTGAGAGCCCTGAGGGTACAGTTACTGGGGCAGGGCCCAAGGCAAGAGATAGGAGGGGGTAGATCAGGAGCTGAAAAATGGATCTCAGCAGGATCAGGAGGCTGAAAACAGGCAAAGATAGAGTAGTTAGGGGAATGGGTTGTTTGGGTCACCTTCTCTGCTGAGTGCAGGCCAGGGATGCCAGAGGACATAAGTGCTGCAGAAGGTGGGCTGGGGGGATTGGGGCCAAAGCTGGGGAAGAGATGACTGCAGAAGCAGGACCCAAGGTCAGGATTCGGCAGAGTGCTCCTACTCCCCTCATGGCCAGGGAACCATATCTGCACCCCTTCAGCTTATCCTGTTTCCTGGGGAGGCAGGCCCTCACATGCCTGGACCTGTTAGTTATGGGAAGGAGTAGGGTGAGGAGAGGCCCCAGGAAGGGCCCAGGATGAGCCCCATCTTGTCCCTCCCATTCCTGCCTCACCCTCTGCAAAAGTGACAGGCACAGGACAGGAGTAGGCACCTTACCCACTGCTGCTTCCCCAGGCCCCCGGCAGGCCCCCAACCCTGCTTGCTCCCAGCTGGGTAAGTAGATCTGCCCATGCCCCTTTACTCCTTACCACCCACTTTTGCCCCGAGGGATAAGGAACAGGGTTGGACAAAGAAGAAGGGGTGGAGGTGGAGATAGAGACAGCCTGGAGTGAATACGGGGGGTCTGGGTACCACTAGGTTCCTGGAAGGGGCAGGGAGTAGAGGAGGTCAGCTGACTGGGAGCAGGGGATCTGGGTTCCAGGAAAGAGTAGTATTTGACTTGGGGCCTGGGGTCCTTGAGGAAGGCTCCCCAACAGAAGAGAAGCAGGCTGCAGGGAAGTGGGGGCAAGCACAGTCCCTTCTCATCCGGTATCAGAGGTAATGCGGGCTTTTGCCCCACCTGAATGCCCTCTGTGGCCCCTTCCAGCCCCCTGCAGGCGAAGAAGGATGTCGGTCTGCTACCGTCCCCCGGGAAACGAGACGCTGCTGAGCTGGAAGGCGTCGCGGGCCACAGGCACGGCCTTCCTGCTGCTGGCGGCGCTGCTGGGACTGCCCGGCAACGGCTTCGTGGTGTGGAGCCTGGCGGGCTGGCGGCCCGCACGGGGACGGCCGCTGGCGGCCACCCTAGTGCTGCACCTGGCGCTGGCCGATGGCGTGGTGCTGCTGCTCACTCCGCTCTTCGTGGCCTTCCTGACCGGGCAGGCCTGGCCGCTGGGCCAGGCGGGCTGCAAGGCGGTGTACTACGTGTGCGCACTCAGCATGTACGCCAGCGTGCTGCTCACCGGCCTGCTCAGCCTGCAGCGCTGCCTCGCCGTCACCCGCCCCTTCCTGGCGCCTCGGCTGCGCAGCCCGGCCCTGGCCCGCCGCCTGCTGCTGGCCGTCTGGCTGGCCGCCTTGGTGCTCGCCGCCCCGGCCGCCGTCTACCGCCAGCTGTGGGCGGACCGCGTGTGCCAGCTGTGCCACCCGTCGCCCGCCCACCCCGCCCCCCACCCGAGCCCGGAGACTCCGACCGCCCTTGTGCTCCCCTTCCGGCCGCGGCTCGGCTGCTACAGCGTGACGCTGGTGCGGCTGCGCGGCGCCCGCTGGGGCTCCGGGCGGCAGGGCGCGCGGGTGGGCCGGCTGGTGAGCGCCATCGTGCTCGCCTTCGGCTTGCTCTGGGCGCCCTACCACGCGGTCAACCTTCTGCAAGCGGTGGCCGCGCTGGCTCCGCCTGAAGGGGCCTTGGCGAGGATTGGCGGAGCCGGCCAGGCCGCACGGGCCGGAACTACGGCCTTGGCCTTCTTCAGCTCCAGCGTCAACCCGGTGCTCTACGTCTTCACCGCCGGGGATCTGCTGCCCCGGGCAGGTCCCCGTTTCCTCAAGCGGCTTTTCGAGGGCTCCTGGGAGGCCCGAGGGGGCGGCCGCTCTAGGGAGGGAACCCTGGAGCTCCGAAGTATTCCTCAGCTGAAAGTAGGGCAGGGCGGGGGCAATGGAGACCCCGGGGGAGGGATGGAGAGGGACGGTCAGGGATGGGACCCTTGACACCAAACCATACCACATGGCCTGCTTTTCCCTGTCCATCATCTCCCTCCCAACACCCCCAAGAACTCACAGCTCCAGAGCAGTTGGGGACCCTTCTCTGACACGTTTGGATCTGGCAGGGCAGATTCCTCCAAACCGAGGGATTGTGAGGGCGGTGATGGTCCATGTTAACAAATATTGTGTGCTTGCAGGTTGGCATGTACCCATGTGCCAGCACTGCCTACTTGTTGCCAATAGCGCTTATTGTGAAATACACGGAAGCCATTAGATGATGGCTTAAGCGTGCTCCCTCTGGTGGTTCATCATGCCTGAGTTATACAGAAGCCACCCAGTTCCCCGCTGGGTCAGGCCAGGGCTGGGCAGTGGCATCTTGCCCTGTCCTCCCCAGGCCTGGTTCCCCCAGTCTAACTCATAGAACCACTCTGTAAATAAAGGGAGAGAGAGAAAGGAAAGGTATGGGAGCTTGGATAAGGGGTGTGGAAAGGATCTGCTCTCTGGGGTTTATACGAGCCACCCGGGGAAGAAACTGGCTCTGGAAAGGTAAAGTGACTCTGTGTGGTTTGAAAGGGAAGTTTTCCTGTCCATCTTGTGGTTGGTACTGCAGGGGAGAAGCACACAAGGAGTGGACATTGGTATAGGGGTCCTGGGAGTCTGAGACTTACCTTCCTCTCTGACCATCTGACCCCCCCTGTAAAGGCAACCTGACTTAAAAAGGAGCCTAGGAGCAGGCATTTGCTTAATCAGGGGATAATTGGGGGTTGGAGATAAGGGGGTATGGGGAATGGCAGGAATATTTGCAGGACAGGAAGAATTTTTCAGGGAGATGCCATCTTTCTTTTCTGTCCTTTTTTTCTCTGCCAAGTCTTGACTCCTCCCAAGATTGCTAGCTGTTCCCAATCCCTCCCCCATTACTTCTCAGCCTCCACCTTTTGTGGAATCTATCTCTAGGTCTAGAAACTGTTCTGGATCCTGACATTTGTGATTTGTACATGCACACTTATGTGGTCACGAAGGTGACCAACTCATTCCAGTTGACCCAGGACTTTCCCAGTTTTAGCACCGAAACCCCTGTCCCAGCCCATCAGTCCCTCAGCAAACTGAGGTTGGTCACCTAAGTGGTTACATCGACCATAACCCCCAGGCTCTGCTTTAGTGACTGTTCATATCCCCCAGGTAGAGGCCAAGAGAATGCAAAGGAAGTCCAGTCCCCAGGGTCAATCTAGGGCTACCAAAACTGGGGTTGGAATGGAGCTCTGAACTAGGGCGGCAGGGAGTGTGCTGAGAGCAACTAGTTCTGGGTGGAAGCAGAAAGGCCGTCGAGGGAGATGGAGTGGGGAGCAGCTTGAGAGAGGAGGCAAAGACAAACCAGTTTCTGTCCAAAGGGGCCTCTAGTTGGCCCTGGAGCTCTGGCGAGAAGCTTCTGTACCCTAACGCAGACTGTAGGGGCTTCTTCTAGGTCCTCACGCACTGAGGTAGAGGTTCCCTAACTTCCTCTGTTACATATTCCCCACTTCACATATGCCGTGCAGTCAGAAAACCCTTCCTCCACTCTGCCCTCAGTTCTTGCTGCGGTTTCAGCCCATTTCTTTTCATCATATCCTCTGCCTGACAGCTACTGGATCAACTCTGCTCTGGTTTTTCTTAAAGCAGAGCAAGTGGGGGCACTGGAGAGGGTAAGGGACCTCAGTGACATCGTTACACGCTGCATCTTTCCTGAGAAGTGACAGAGGTGAAAGGGAAGCAGAAAGATTCATGGTCAGATTGGAAGAAGGAAGTTTCAGTCTTTAGCTTCTCCAGGAGACTTCAAGGAGAGATGTCCCTCCATCCAGGGAAGGGGGTGACCCTTTTGGGGCTGTTTCTCTTTCCACATTCTTAGTTTCCCATCTTGGAAGGGTAGGCATGAGGGTCACTGCCCCTGCTCCCTCAGTCCTGACCCTCATCTCAGCTCAGCTTGGCTCAGCCTCTGCTTTTCTGTGTATCTAAAGTGGAACTGGACAGTAAGTAGGCTGTGGGAATGTAGGACAGAGATGGGGCCCATCTCCTTGCCTGGAAACCAAATCTTAAGGCCAAACTCAGCAGGGTAACCACATGAGCAAGCACAAGGCAAATGGATGGGGGAAAGGGAAGAAATTGGCATTCTAAGGAGTCCATTTGGACTTTGGCTTCTACCAAAGAGTGGAGAATCAATTGACCTGAAATGGAACCAATCCCTTTAAGTAAGGGGAGGGATGGAAGGTGCTGAAAAACAGCGCCCTCCTCCCTGCCCCAACAACTTAACCAATAGCTTGAACGGAAGCCAAGGACAGGGTGCTGACCCCTCAGCATTTACTGACATGCCCTCTTTAAATCATGATGTTACCTAGCTCAAACTCAGACCCAGAACCTAGTCACAGCTCCAACCTACACTTCCTATTCATTAAAAATCTATATTATTCACACACAAAAATAAAGATATCAGCATTCTAGATTCTCGGTCTGGGCCTGTCTGCCCTCACCAGCTTCCTTGCCTCCTTCTCCTATGTGATAGAATTCATTATTTTGTTCAATTCTCCAGTCTAGACCTGCATCTTGAGGCCACACCCCAGCCTACTCACTCCCTGCACCCTTCTCCTCTCGCTTACTGCCCCTTCCAGGCTCTTCTCATCTGGCCCCACCCCTGAGGAGTCCTCCTCCCTCTGTTAACTTCCTCTCTGGCTGACTTAGCTGACAGCACCCCAACCTGGGGCCAGACCCCTGGCACTGGGACAGATCCAGGGATAGGTTATAGCACCCTGCCCTGACCCTGGGATTGGCACCAGCTTCTAGCCAGTACCTGGCAACGCTTGTAAGTAAGTATCCTGGGAGTGGAGGGTGGAGGTGGGGGGATGGGGTGCAGCCAGGGGAGGTACAAAGGAATCTTCAAAGAAAGCCTGACGAGTATGAAAGGAGTGGGGAGGGTTTGTCCTTGTCACCTGTCTGCTAACTGCTCCCCATCCCTGGTATTCCTGGTGGACCCTGGGCATCTCTGGGGAGAGAGGGTAGGTAATTGGAAGAGGTCAGTGGGACTGAGGGGCTGAAAGCCTGGCAGGGGACAGAGCAGCTAGCCTTTCAAGGGGTATGGCATTGGTGAGGAAACTCTCCTGGTTTGGTTCTGGGTTTTAGGGTCTCCTCAGGGAAGGAGGCTGAAAAGGTCTGTTGCTGCTGTTGCTGTATATTTTGCAACTGGGTCTTGGGCAGGAAGGGGCCCCATGGCCCAGTTAGGAAACTAGCCTTTCCACTTAACTAAATCCCCTTAAGACAGGTCAGTCGGAAGTGATGGGGGCAATTTTTTTCAGAGGTACCTCTGATGCTGCTGACCTTGAAGACAGACCAGATACTCAGGCTTGGTGTGTCCAGGGTGTCAGGAAACCCGTGGTCCCCTAACCTTACGCACATGTCCACCTCACTGTCCAGGTCCTTGCAATGGCCACGAACACTACATCTCCCACAGCACACTCTGCACCAGGTGTCATGTTCATCTCTCTGCTGGCTATCATCCTATTGTCAGTGGCGCTGGCTGTGGGGCTCCCTGGCAACAGCTTCGTGGTATGGAGCATCCTGAAAAAGATGCGGAAGCGCTCTGTCACCGCCCTGCTGGTGCTGAACCTGGCCCTGGCCGACTTGGCTGTATTGTTCACTGCTCCCTTTTTCCTCCACTTCCTGGCCCAAGGCACCTGGAGTTTTGGACTGTCTGGCTGCCGCCTGTGCCACTATGTCTGCGGAGTCAGCATGTATGCCAGCGTCCTGCTTATCACCACCATGAGTCTGGACCGTTCGCTGGCGGTGGCCCACCCCTTTGTGTCCCAGAAGCTGCGCACCAAGGCTATTGCCAGGAGGGTGCTGGCAGGCATCTGGGTGTTGTCCTTCTTGCTGGCCACACCCGTCCTCGTGTACCGCAAGGTGATCCTGGAACAGAACAGGAGCTTGGTCTGCTTCCCGAAGTACCCCACCGAAGGCCACAGGGCCTTCCATCTCCTCTTCGAGGCCATCACGGGCTTCCTGCTGCCCTTCCTGGCCGTGGTGGCCAGCTACTCGGACATCTGGCGCAGGCTGCAGTCCCGGCGCTTCCGCCGCAGCCGCCGTACCGGCCGCCTGGTGGCGCTCATCATCTTGGCCTTCGCCGCCTTCTGGCTGCCCTACCACGTGGTGAACCTGGCGGAGGGGGCCCGCGCGCTGGCAGGTCGGGCCGTGGGCTCCGGGCCC